GAACCCCCCCCCCCCCCCATGAAAAAAACCCTAAAGCCAGGTAGGTCTTACAATGGGGTTCAGGTACACCATGAGGACTTCAGGGCCTCTACGGGGGTTCGGGGTCCCCGGGATTCTAATGCCAGCAAACGAGGCTCCAGATTGGTTTTTTGGTTTCTGGATTGTTGCTAAAGGTGCTGCCATTGCCGTGGCTACTGCTACTGCATTGCGACGGCTATCTCTTTGCTATTGCTGCTGCTGGTGTTGTTGTTGTNNCCCTCAACCCCGAAACCCTAAACCTTAGATTAGGTTCATGGCTTGAAGATGCCGAGAGGCTCTCGGATGCTCCGGTCTGTTTCGCCCCTTGGGGAGTCGCTGACCACGGAGAGAAACGATGCCGCGCCTTCGCTCGCAGGTGTTTCGGGGCAGCTCAGCGCTCCTTAATCTTCCTTCCGACTAGACTGAAAGCATGGTGAACAAACCTCGTGCTAGCTTGTTAATTCTTCATCATAAATATATGAATTTATTAACAATGTTGAAATTCTTCAAAAGCCAGGTTCGTTCTGACAATGCTGCCAGTCGATTGCCGTTCAGGGGATGACTTAACATCCTCGTGCATGCATATCATATACATACATGCATACACACATAGATGCATGCATACACTCTACATACATACCTACGTACATACATGCATATATATATATATATATATATACATATAGAGGTAGGTGTGTATGCGACTAAATATACAAAAGTAAACGTAAGTCTATGTATATGTTTATGTATATATATGTATGTATGTGCGTATGCATGCATGCACGTATGTGTGTATGTGGATGTGTACGTGCATGTGTATGTGTTTGTAAGTATGTATGTAGATGTAGATGTATATGTAGATGTAGATGCACATATTGCATATGCTTGCATGCATGGATGGATGGATGGATGTGTGTGTGTGTGTCTGTACGTATGTATGCTTGCATGCTTGGATGGATGGATGCATGACTGTCTGTCTGTCTGTCTGTCTGTCTGTCTGTCTGTCTGTCTGTCTGTCTGTCTGTCTGTCTGTCTGTCTGTCTGTCTGTCTGTCTGTACGTATGTCTGTATGTCTGTATGTCTGTGCGTATGCATGTATGTATGTATGTATGTATGTAAAGATGTCACTGTATGTTTCCGTCAAACGTGACTGTCGAGATGTGATATGATATCATTGACAATCCTGCCCTAGGTCTACTGTTACGTTTAGTGTCCATTCCAAGCCTGAGGCTATGCACAGGCCGCGTTCCCGGTCCCCCCCCATCAAGGTGGCTGTGACGCTCACGCGGAGGCAGATTATTATCATGGCGGGCGAGGCAGGGGAGATCCGTGAACAGCAAGACCAACAACGGGGCCTTAATGATTAGAGTAGGTTTTGCGGGCCATTATAGTATCACTATCATGAAGAACCCTAAGGCATAATATAGGTAAGTGTTTACGCTTCTACATTACACCGCAACGGGCCATGTCACCAGGTAACCCAAACCCTAAACCCTAAGGTCCTAATCCCCTGATCCCTCAAGCCCTAAACAACCCTGAGACTCTAGTCAAACCTAAACCCTAAAGTCCTTGCAAGTACAAGTGGAAACAACAGACAGAACCCGTGGCCCTTTGCAGATGGCGCCTGTGGCACCACCATAGCGAAGGAACGCCAACCGTGACGAGGTCATGGCCTGAAAAAATTGCTATTCATTATCAAGTGGTAGTAGTCGTAGTAGTAGTAGTAGTAGTAGTAGTAGTAGCAGTAGTAGTAGTAGTAGCAGCAGTAGTAGTAGTAGCAGTAGTAGTAGTACATCGCGAGGACAAAAGTTTTGACCTGGGCACAAGGTCAAATTACGTGGCCTGGCCAGCGGAGTATTTTATACCCCGTTTTGAAATTATACTACTTTNNTAGGATTCTACGGGGGAATGGGGGCCTCTAATCCCAAGAAGAAGCAAGTGGGTCAAACTTTCGTCCTACCGCAGTAGTAGTAGTAGTAGTAGTAGTAGTCGTGGTGGTGGTGGTGGTGGTAGTAGTGGTAGCAGTGGTAACAATTTTATAGGTACTTCTGGTACTAGTGCTACTGCCTGCACTCGTACCAGCAGTACCTGGGTGTTAGCTGAATTGCCGTGGTATCTTCGCTGGCCTTGAGGGGTTCAGGTTGCTTTGTCTGACAGTTAGGGTTTAGGGTTTAGGTTTAGGGTTTAGGGTTTAGGGATATTTTCCTCAGGGCCCTGGGGATTTTGGGTCTGGGGCTTGGCATGTCTAGAGATGGGAGTGTTGGTCGCTGTAATGCGTGAGTAAGGACATCCTCAAATGCACAAGGTGAGCTCCAAATTCAACTTGGAAGCTCAATATAATATAGCATCCTACGACATCGCAGGACAACACCGCGACACTGAACCCACCTCTCCTCAGAATTGAATCTCAAGCCCCGCCGCCCGAGTCCTCTATCCTAGACCGAAGAGACCCGCAACCCGCATCCTAACCCGGCAAGCATACACAAATCCTAGACCGTTACACGCTAAATCCGGGCGGTCTTTGAACTTTAAGCCCTGCAACTGACCTAGAAAGGAAAACTCACTTTCCAGGGATCTTGCCCGCGCGAAATCGTGACGCCGCTCCCCGAGACAATCCTTCGGATTGCTGACTATAGACTTTCGCTGCACGTTCGGAGTCTCAACTTCTTGAAGCTTGGCCTGGGTGAAGCATTGATGAAAACAGACGTGCAGACAAGGCAGCTTCGAGAAAGTCTCTATTTCTCGTCACTTTGAAAGAAAGGGACATTTCCACGAGTTTCTTGCCTGCCTCTCTGGAGTTCTGTCCTGAAGCCCGTACTTCGCAAAAGGTAGTGCGCATACTCTGACCAGATCATGCTGGTTCTGACCATCGGCCAAACCACAAGCCGGGCAGGAAGCCACAATCTAAATTCAAGGAACGGGTCAAAGCAACAAGCACATGGGCTACGACTAAGAATCACCATTAAAGTATGTCCTTGCGATTTCTTGCGTAAGACAAGCAACACCCCCCTGACACTACAATGCCCAATCTAGACCTGGAGCCCTCAATCATACGCCCTCAAGCAACCAAAAAAAACATAAATCCTTCAAACACAAACGAACGACCGAACAGAGATACCACCCCAAGTACGAACAAAGAAAACAACGAACAAACCAAGGAACGAACTAAGCAACCAAGCAACGAACAACAAAACAACCAACCCAACAAACAACCACACAACTAAACTAATACACACACAACGAAACAAACAAACACACACACACACAAAAACAAAAAAAAAAAAAAAAACAAGGCTAACACACCAACCAAACAAACTCTACACCTCAGATCTCCTCGAGGCGGTCTAAGACTTTGGAGCTCTTCGCCTGACAGGGCACTCCCTGCTTCGACTTTCTGAGCAAAACTCCAACTAATGTAATGGCCTTAATAATTAGAATAGGGGTTGGTGTCACTTTTACTATAATTATAGTAAGGAGCCCCCAAAGTGGTATAGTCATTATTAAGGCCCCTACATTACTCTAACTAGGGTTTAGGGTTTCCGGGCCTAGTTTAGGGTTTACGGTTTATGGGTCTATACCAGAATTATAATAAGGAAGCAAGCCGAGAAGGCCCAGCATTACATAGGACTAATGACTCAAAACCCTAGATAATTCGATCCGACCGGGGCTTTTCACTGAACTGAGAATACCATTATTGAACCGCCAGAAGCCAGTGATTGGGCCAGAACACCCTTGAGATCAAGACCGTCGGCGCCCCTAATGCAGGGGCCTTACTAAGTAGAATAGGGTTTTGGGATATATATATATATATATATATATGTATACCATAATAAATATAATAAGGAGCCCCCAAAAATAGTATAGGCAATTATTAAGGCCCCTACACATTCTTGGGCCCTCAGGCCTTGGGGTTTAAGACGGTTTGAGGGCTTAGCGCTTACCCTAAGCCTCTACGGACTCATATGGGATCCTCCGAAAATTAGGGTACCTTACTTTTGAGTCCTTATAATCAGGATCCTATTACTTAGGGAGCCATATTAAGGCCCCCTATTTTCGGAAACGATAGAGGAAGGCTTTTGGGCCCGAAGGCCATACTCTTTAAGGTTTTGGGGAGCTATTTTCAGCCACAGGGGGAGGGCAACTGCCAAGTCGGGGATACCCTAAAAGTGCTGAGGATCCGGGGCCCAAGATGAAGGCTGACCTGTTAACTACGAGTAGGGTAGGGTTTAGGGTTTAGGG